TTTATACATTTCACAAAAACTAACTCAAAATACATCATGGACAAAAATGCAAAACTATAAAAATGCAAAGCTATAAAAATCTCTAGAAGATAACTTAGGAGAAAATATAGGTGACCTTGAGTTTAGCATTGAATTTTAGATACAACACCAAGACCATGATCCATGAGAAAAAACAAATTGGTAAGCTGGATTTCATGAAAATTAAAAAGTTCAAGATGGATCCTCAAGAAATAAAATAATAACAAATGATGGCAAGACTGTAGGGAAAAAAGGAACCCTTCTATATTGCTGATGGAAATGTAAACTAGTACAACCGTTATGGAAATAAATATGGAAGTTCCTCAAAAAAATAAAATTAGAAATCCCATTCAACCCAGCTATTCCCTCTCTAACACCTTTACCAAAGAATTGAAGACATTAAATTACAGTGATATATGCATACCAATGTTTATAGCAGCACAATTCATAATAGCTATGTCTTGAAAGCAACCAATATGTCCATCAACAGATGAATCAATAAAGAAAATGTGGTATTTACACACAATGGAGTACTACTCTGCCATAAAGAAGGATAAACTTGAGTCATTTGTAGGAAAATGAATGCGCCTTGAGAGAACAATGTTAAGTGAAAGCTTTAAATATTGTATGATTTCTCCAAAAATCCCAAAATATAAGTAAATTAAAGAGCAAAAGTAAAAATAGATACTAGGAAGCAGAAAGATAGATCTTTTACAAAAGGAAGGGCACCAAGAGCTGGAGGCAGTTGAGAGGCCTGGGAGGGGAAAGGGAAGAGAAAGAATGAAGATGTGTTATATATATGTATCAAGTCCTCGTGAGGAACGTAATGATTATGTACTGCAAACACACTAGTAAAAAAAAACACAAATCTTCAAGCTGGGCAGAGTGGCTCAGGCCTTCTCAGCACTCTGGAGGCTGAAGCAGGAAGATCACAAGTTTAAGCTCAGCCTGGGAAACTTAGTGACTTAGTGAAACCATGTCTCAAAATGCAAAAGGGATAGGGATACAGTACAGTGTGAAGCCCCTGAGTTCAATCCTCACTACTGAAAAATAAATAAATAAATAAAAACGTCATCAAAAGACCCTGTAAAGAGATCATAAAACTAAGCCAGACTAAAAGAAATTGCAAAGCACCTATTTGATAAAGGACTGATTTCCAAATAGCACATTTAATTCACAAAAAGAAAACAAACCAATTTAGAAATGAGCCAAAAGACTAAAGATACGCTTCAAAAAAGAAGATAAACAAATTGCAAATAAACACATATAAAAAAGCTGAGCATCATATGTCATCAGAGAACTGCATGTTAGAACAATAATGAGAAACCACTGCACACCAAAAATAGCTAAAATCGAGAACAATAACTCCAAAAACTGGAAAGAAGGGAGAGCAATCAAACTCCTTTCATTGCTGTTGAGGATGCAAAATGGTACAGTCACTTAGAAGACAGTGTAGTTTCTTACAAAGTTCAACGTCATCTTATCACATGATCCAGCAATCGTGCTCTATGGTATTGATCCAAATAAGTACAATTCATGCCCACATGAACACTGCATGAGAAAGTTTACTTCCCACTTAATTTTTCTGTCACTCTAAAGCTGTTTCCCCCAAAGTATAAAATCTGTTAAAGAATGAATGGAAATACCATTTTAAAATAACAAATAAAAATGAATTCTGGAGCAAAATTCCCTCTACTTTCCTAGGTGTTTCACATTTCCATAGCAAACTTATATAAAATACATAAACCCAAAAATTCTACATCTAGGATTTTATTCTGTAGATGTATGTACATAGTGATCCAATGTTTGTGTCAAAGATTATGTAGTACTATCATTAATAGCAAAAAACCTGAAGCAACTAAATATACATTAAGAAATGTTTAAATTATGTTTATTTTAGATATGGAACACTATAGACCAGTGAAAAAGAGGTAGCCATAAGTGCACAATGCTATACAGAGGAAGTACTTGCCTTTTGCTTCCAAATATAGCCCTAGCAAGTAGAATACCATGTGCCAATCACATGGTAGATCCTCAATGTATATTGGCTGAATACATGAATTAAAAAATGATCATTAACATTTTTAAAGCAAGATATAAAACAATGTGTGTACTGTTAGTCTTTATTTACATAAAAAGATGTAAATAAGGATGCATAATGTATATTTCACAAGAAGGACTCACAAGAATCTGGTAGCATAATGGGCAAATTACAAATGGAAGTTAGGGAAAGAAGGTAAGACTTCACAGCATTATTTTCCTGCTTATGAGTGAAATGAAATTCTCCAAGAAAAGGAGGGAAAACATTAATAAAAAATCAGTAAGGAACTGAAGAATGCCCCAGTAGAAAGATGGACAAGATGTGAATAATCAATTAACAAAAGAACAAAGAAAAATTAACACTCAAACAAAAACTAAAGTGAATATCAATCAAAAGTATCCTTTTATAGTTGTCAAATTCATAGATGAAAAGATCCTCAAAAGACAGAAGTGTCCTGGGTAGAGAGAAATGGACACACTCGTGTACTGTTGATGAAAGTATAAATATACATATCCTTTCTGGAGGGCAATTCAGCCCTCAACCATTTTAACAAAATCATCACCAAAGTTCAATACCTACTTTACCTTCAACTAGCCTATCCAACTGCCAGGAATCAAACAAATGTGAAAAGTTTTTTATGCAATGCTAAGTAATGTACACTATATATATAA